CTCTCTCCTCCCTCCCCCCCCCCCCCCCCCTTTCTTTTTTTTTTTTTTTTTTTTTTTTTTGTGAGATTACCTAAGAGTTGATATTTGCTCAGGAAGGGAATTAAGAGTACTTATTACCCAAATCCAGAGAAATCTCCTAGATTCTGTCCAGACTAGTGATTCTTGTGTTGTGTTCGTTTGCCTTTCCCAGCTCTGACAGCCTGAAGGGAAGATGGATTGGAGCACACTGCAGACCATCTTGGGGGGTGTCAATAAACACTCCACCAGCATTGGAAAAATCTGGCTCACTGTGCTCTTTATTTTTCGCATCATGATCCTTGTGGTGGCTGCAAAGGAGGTGTGGGGAGATGAGCAAGCTGATTTTATCTGCAACACTCTACAGCCTGGCTGCAAAAACGTCTGCTATGACCACTACTTCCCCATCTCTCACATCCGACTGTGGGCTCTGCAGTTGATCTTCGTGTCCACGCCGGCGCTCTTGGTGGCCATGCACGTGGCCTACAGGAGACACGAGAAGAAAAGGAAGTTCATTAAGGGGGAGATAAAGAGTGAATTTAAGGACATCGAAGAGATTAAAAGCCAGAAAGTCCGTATCGAAGGGTCGCTGTGGTGGACCTACACCAGCAGTATCTTCTTCCGAGTCATCTTTGAAGCCGCCTTCATGTACGTCTTTTATGTCATGTATGACGGCTTCGCCATGCAGCGTCTGGTGAAGTGTAATGCCTGGCCTTGTCCCAACACGGTAGACTGCTTTGTTTCCAGGCCCACGGAAAAGACTGTCTTCACTGTGTTTATGATTGCAGTGTCTGGAATTTGCATCTTGCTAAATGTCACTGAATTGTGTTATTTGTTAATTAGATATTGTTCTGGAAAGTCAAAAAAGCCAGTTTAACATATTGCCCTGCTGTTAGATAAAAGTGTGAAAGGATGAGGCAACCTGTACTTAGCTGTCAAAGCTTAGTCACCAGCATTTTCTGAGACAAAGATTCTGATCTTAAATACAACTCTTCAAAACCCCTGCAGGCCTCATGTGAAACTCCAGAGGCCTCGGTGGTGGAGGTCTGCTCGCCTAAGGCCTCACAACAAAGGCCTAATTTTATGCCTGTTTTAATTTTTACCACAGTTAGTTCCAGTGAGACCCCTTGCTGATGGGAGTTATTGGTGTAAGGTACTTTTATATTTTAAACGAAGAATATTGGCATTTGTTTCTTTTTCTTAAAGGACAGGAGAGAAAGGCTTGGTTCTAAAGATGATGATGTTATCTCTCCCAGGGTTCCCTTTGACAATTTTTCCCAAGTGAAAGATGAACACAGAGAATCCTGATCCTTTTATTTGCTTTGGAAGTTTTTATCTCTAACAATGAACAAAGTTACCTAATGCTTCAAACTCTATTATTCTTGTTTATTTTTTTAAGTGAAAACTTTAAGATAGGTTCTTTTGATCTAAAGATGTCCTGGAAACCATTGAGTATTCCTCCTATTTCAAAGGCTCAGACTATGATATGTACCCGGCACGTCATTAGACACTGTAACTTCATTGAAAACAGGGCCTTTTGGTAATGCATCGTTTGCAGTGTGGCCGAGAGGCTGTCCAGTGTGTTAATTGTGGGGAGTAATATGAAACAACATGGCAACCTCTCTCAAGTGAGACAAACTGGAAGTTCTTAGTAATGGCTTATGGTAGCAAATGGCCTCATTTCAAAAATTTAGATGTAATTTTTTTGCATCAGAAATACAGACTGGATCCACTATCAACTACCACCTATAATGACAGGCTGGCTCAACACTCCCTCTTCCCATACAACTGTTGCCTTCTTCATTGCTGTGGTACATGGTAGCCAGCATCAGAAGGGATGCTGATTTAAAGAGGTCGTCTGGGAATTTTATTGCCACAGAACAATTTAATCGTGCAGAGCAAAATGGGAGGGGGGGGCGGGGGGGGTGGGGGTCCATGGAAAGACTGAATTCTCAATTCTATTGATTAAACATGAGTTTTATCTACTTCAAAAGTCTATTGGCTTTCCTCTTCAGCTTCCAGTTTTTAAGTGCAATTAGAACTAGTACACATTTGCGAAGACTGGAAGGTCAAGTTTAAAGACTTGGCAGTTCTGTAGGACAAATCAAACCATTCTGCTTGACATGATTTCCAAAAAATGGTACTCAACTTACTTCAGTGAGGGTAAGCATTTTCTTGTTGCCAAGAATAGCGTTGTAAAAACATTTTGTAATAAATATATAATAGTTTTAATTACATGCTTGTAACTAATTTTGTAATGCCTCAAATATCATTTAAAATATTAAAATATAAGTAATTCATATCATAATTATTTAACATCTACAGTTTATTAATAGAATAGCAAAGTTCAATTTCATCTATACTTGTATGTTAATATTTTTATATTTCATAACACCAAACAGGTATATTAACAAGAGTATATGAAAATCATTCTCAGGACCAGCAGTTGGCATAAAGGCTAATGTCGCTGGACTCCCGTGTAGTCGACTGAGGTTCAAGTCCCGGACCTGGTGGCTTACACTGACTCCAGGCACGTATGTGTGTGTGCCCAAGATCCTGAGAGGAGAATGGAGCAGAAGGGATTGCGGCGTGGATTTCTTGCTTTCTGTCTCTCTGTTTCTCTCTGTCTTTCTGGCAAGTACATGTGCCCTATAGCAAAAATTTATCCAAAAAAAGAAAAGGAAAGGAAAGAGAAAAGAAAAGAAAAGAAAAAAAAAGAAAAGAAAAGAAAAGAAAAGAAGAAAAGGAAAGGAAAGGAAAGGAAAG